AAAACGTAATCCTCTTCCTAAATTCCACCGGAATCTAAATATCAGAAATACGAGAACTAGGTTGTATTTAACTTCATACCTCATTGTTGTGAATGCTCTATCATGTTTAAACACATTCAAATATTCGTTCACAGTATTAATTGGAATTTTCATAATTGTGACTCAATGTACATAATGTGAACTTGTTTTCCCATATTTGGTGTAAATCATCTTTATAGAGTGAATTTTATCAGGAAAGAATATCCTTGTCATGAAATTATTATAAATACACCACATGATATGATACTTTATAGGGTTTTAAGGTATAAATATTTCTAGAAACGTCTCATCATATACATATATATGCTTAACTATTCATGATTGAAAGAACTACTACTGTTCTCTGCAATGCTCGAACCAATAATGATGATGTCTCAACTAATTGACCTAATATACTACCGTTTATTGATCTACGAAAAAATAATTTACCTCTAAGTCCCAAGATGATAGCTAATTTAAAATGAATATATATATATATATGACTCCAAAACCTATACAATCATATACATGAACTACATGTCCCTAACTAGGACATTTAGGGTAACCTCCCACCTTGAATAATTAGTTAATAATTGATCTACAATAAGTTTATCATTAAAAAAACATATAACAACACTCAAATAAAAGCTTACTATTAGTAGAATATGAAAAACATTTCATAAACTATGTAATATCCCCTTAAAATATAACTAATGCTCATCAAAAATACAATGGATCTCAAAATTTATCCTTCTCAGAAAGTATTTATACTCAATCCATTTTCTTTGGTATCAGAAGGGGTTTTGTGAAGATTGTAGTAATTTTGATAGTTGAGATCATGAGTAAATTGAAGCTAGAACACCATGAAGAACCTGTAAGTACTGGATGGACAACTCATCCTAGTATGATGCTCCTTAACAGTGAGCATCCACAATCTCTCCTCTCTAGATTCGAACCCATGACCTATCAGTCTCACGCACGAGCACTTAATTCCTACATCACTGAGTTGGCATCCAATGATGTCAATATCTAACTTCAACTAAATCACGAAAATGAGTGACACATCCACCATTGTCATCAGTGAGTTACTGTCTCACAACTGAGCCGATTGAACTCCACTAGTCGTTGCTTTTCACTAGAACTGCAGGATATACATATCAAAGCCAATCATTAGTGAGCATATGTTGATTAGTATCAGAAGGAATGTTTTGTAAAGATTACAGTAATTTCAATATTTGAGATCATAGATCAGTTGAATCTAGACAATTACAATAGGACAAAACGACCATCTATTACTTCAAAGTTTCCCATGGTGGTCTAACTTCAGTGAACACATAATCTTTTTCTTTGATTATAAATATCATCCAATTTTGTTCAAATAATAAATTGATTTTTGATTTCCTAGTTTTCTTTTCTTTTTTTTCTCTTTTCTTTCAAAAAAAAGTATTTCCGACAAATCTATACATTGTTAAATAAAATTTTGTTAAACAAAACATGATATTAACAATGACACATAATGTGTCCATGTATATATTCTATTTATCTTAAATCTTTTCTTTTAATTTTTTTCTCTCTCCTAACTTAAAAATGATAAAAAATAAATAAATAAAACAACATTGGGTATGTATAATGTTCACAACTGATTGATCACTGGGTGGTGATCAATGTCATGTGTGTCAAGTCTTTATTTAGTGCAGATCGAATGCTATCGACCATGTTGTAATGTGGCCACCAGTCTAGGTGACTAAACACTGAGGGCACTATATATTGAGATTAGATGATGGTTGGAGGTAGTCCACACGACACATTGCAACATGATCGATAGCAATCGATCTGCACTAAATGAGGATTTGACACACATGACATTGATCACCACCCAGTGATCAATCAATAGTAATTACATCTCAGTCCTACAGGAGGTCAGTCGCAGCCCGGATAGCTCAGTGATAACGTCTCTGACTGTGAAGTTGGGTGACACAAGATCGAATCCGCCAGGGAGCACCAGTTCCCTCAAGATTACAGTTACACCTTGTTGACGAGTGTCGAGTAGCACGAAACCCGTGTCTAGGGTTTCCTATCAACTACCTCCAACCACCATCCAATCTCAATGTATGATGTTACATGAGAGAGAAAATGGATAAAAACAAACAGTTTTTTTATTTGCTAATAGAAATTACAAAAATAAATAAATAATTCATCCGTTTTACATTCTACTTGTAAACTGATACTAAAAAAGAAAAAAAACAGAGAGAAAATTTTTGCATGTTCAAAATTTGTTAAAACTAAAATAATTAATTTTTGTAATCAATAATTCAATTTAAAATTTGTTTTAATTCATTTTTCTAAAAAAAAATTGAACATTTAAACATTTAATATTATGTAACTGATGTATTTCTTTTTTTTATATTTTGTGGATAGAATATATTGCATAGAGATGAGCCAATTAGAATTGAGAAAAAAGTTTTTTGTGTGCGTGTGTGTGTGTGTTTTTTTTGGAGGTTAATTCGAAAATGAAGGATTTTTAATTTGAATGGTTTTAAATTGATTGTTGTTATGTAAACTTAGTGTATTGCCAAGTGAAATAATGGTTATGTTTACGTTTATGTAGTTATTTAATTTTTTAAAAAAAAAAAATTAGATTATGCTATGAGTATTAAATTAATTGTGGAATTTCAACATGTTGAAATGTTAAATTATGCAGTTACACAAAAGAAAATATCCAGAACGAAGAAAGCCAATCGCTATTGCATACAAAGATGATGGATATGATAATTTTCACTTCATTTTGATTAGTCGCTAAGTAGACTGACATGATTACGAAATCGAGTTGAGTTTAATTGCAGCCATTAGTTTATAACACATAAAGCATGTATTAGAAAGACTTTTGTATAGTTTAAAACACATCACCTACTCAATCCCATTTGAAAATAATAACTTTAAAACCCTTAATTCGGTAGTATTATATTTTATGGATGATCTGATCAGATTTAAGGCAGTACCTCATAAATATCTACGCGATATCTATTTGTCCATATTGTTACAATGGATTCTTTCAACATAGCTAACATAAATTCGTAATGAGAACTCTAGTCCTAATTTCCAACTCTATTGAAGAACGATCTGACTCTTTTAAAAATCATTTGTGTTTTTTTTTTTTGGTGGACGTACAAGACTAACGTTCCATAAGCATAATGCGTGAACTTTCATGAAGTTGTTTGTTCGATTGATTTATTATGTAAATTCTAAATGCGTTTTGTTAGATTATTGTTTTCTTTTCCATAAACTAATCATTTAAAGAAACTACTGTCTGACTGACTAATAACTGGCTACAAATTCATTTCAATTATTTCGGGTTCGTCACTTTATTACATTCTTACCATACCTTATATACTTTAACGGTAATAAGGCAATAATATGGATGCTTTCGGAAATATAAGGAGTGTATCTAGTTCTCATTATGAATTTCCATATACTAAAAGTTAGACTTGATCAGAGTAACTTGAAATCATCTTATTTCGTCATGTTTTTGTCAACATTTTTCGATAACCGGTATAGAATTATGGAGATTGTTGAGTTTTACTGTAATCATGGATCGACCAATTTTAGACCATCACTAAGAACCTCAAAGCAAAACACTGCCATTTTATTCGAATATGGGACTCCTCACTGTTGCACATCCAGAACCATCGATCTCGTACGCAAATATTTTACTTGTAGACCAATAAGCCGATATCAAACGGTGTCAACATTTACCTTCAATCAATTTTTCAATGAATATGATCACATGTCAAATATAGTATAGCAAAGTTGCAGATAAATTTATTCAGTTAAATAATAATTTTCGATATATCTTCATAGCATGTAAGAAAACATTCCACAATGTTGATAGTAACAGAAATAAGAATCATATAGTTATATATATCACAGGTTTTAAGTAGCTGATGATGATCATTATTATGAAAGAAAATGAATTCATATTATTCTCTTTAAAGTTCTGTGTATTTTATATTACGAACAATCTGATCATACATATACTTGTTAAGAACATTTATAAATGAAAATTAAAAGGTCAACTAGACAGGTTAAGGATAAGTCATAACAAAGGCAAAATATTGAACTACACAAAAATAAATGTGATTACCAATTTGTATAATCAATCAGCATTACCAGGGTAGGTTAAGTGTAAGGACAAATTGGTTCTGAACACATAAAGGGGGTTTCAATTTCTGAATAGCCAAGGCTTCAATAAACCTTAGTATACGTCCTTGAAGGCTTTCGTATAACACTACAAATGCTGATTTGACGTCAACTTTATGAACCGTCTCAACCAAATGTTTCGCAATGGTGGATGATGTCTGTCTATTTTGTGATCTTATTTGACCATTGGAATCCATTTGTTTCTGCAACCATTTTCGTATGTGTTCACCCATCCTTAATTTATATTGACTAAAATAAAAAATTATGCAACCTAAAACTCAGTATATTTTGATTATCAACACTGTTATAGCTTAAGTAATAAAACAATTTTATTGCATAACTATCTATTATGTTAATAAATTTCATTCCGAACTGATATCATCCCTTTTTTAAATCATTCTCAATAGTTGTTTGGTCTTTAATTTATGACGTTTACTGTAGTATAGACTCATAGGTCTTGATTAGATTTGAAAATGAGGACTTAGTAATTCATAGATATCTTATCAACCATGAGAGGTTAATATTCTGTAGTTATGTACTACATAAAGTGAAAAATGCAGACAGCAGAGGATTTCTATACAAGAACAAAATAACTTTTCAGTATTGTTTAGTTTCTAATAGTTTACCAACTCATATAATTCCATAATGATAACTGATTTCATGTGTATCAATAACTATATTTTATGTTTTAATATAATCATTAAATCAATTACGCAAATAATCCCCATGTGTATAGTTTCTTTTCACTTTATCAAATGTTTTTTTTTGTTTTTTTAACTTTTCAGTGCCAATTTTTAATCATTGCCCAGTTCAAGCTAAAGATTATTGTCAAAATGGTGGAGAATGCTTTTATTTATCCGGAGATCCAAGTGTATATATGTGCAGGTCAGTTTGAAAAATTGTCATGAATATATATATATATATATATATATGAAAAAGATATTAATTCATTTTGGTTTGCTTGTTTAAATCTTCCCACTAATGTTTTTGGACTGAAATTGATCAGTCTCTTACTGGAATATCTACATCCTAAGCAGAATACTCAGGCTAGTGGATATCTGAACTCAGTATCCAAGTGGATAACGTGATGACTTTTGAAGTGAACGGTACTAGGTTCCAGTACAGTGGTGAACTTCAACTCTATGAATCAGATAAATTCAGCTGATGAAACGTACATCCTGGATTCCACTGCAACCCATCATCTATTTTTGTTTATAATACAAAAGATTTTGTCTTAATTGTATGAAATCTTCAGAGATCATTTCAAATATGATATAAATAATAAATAAAGTATAAATTTATGGGTAGTGATATACTAAATGATGTTTTTATACATACATTCTTGACGAATTACAATTCACTATTGTTCAATAACAGATACTTTTCCTCATGTGAAATTTGGTCAGAAAAATATATTTGTGGAAAATTTCACTAAGACCGACGAATAGTTAGACCTAGTGTCTAAATATCCGTTTCCTTCTTCATTGGAATATCATACTAAAACGGTTATTTTCCTGATTCATTAGAGAATTTTTTTTCATAAAATGAAATGGAGATCTAATATAATTCAATAACAGTGTCTACTGAAAACAAATTATCCAACAATTAAGTTGTAAATAGTAACTTACTTACTTACTTATGCCTGTTACTCCTAATGGAGCATAGGCAGCCGACCAGCATTCTCCAACCTACTCTGTCCTGGGCCTTCTTTTCCAGTTCCATCCAATTCTTGTTCATTTTTCTCATGTCTATCTCCATTTCCCGGCGCAATGTGTTCTCTGGTCTTCCTCTTTTCCTTTGGCCTTGAGGATCCCTGTAAATAGTTACCTGGTGTTTAAAAGATCAAATGAGTCTCAATGCAAACATAAAATTATATGAAGATATTGATCAATATCGTTTTACTTTCCATCCAGAATATTTTCTGAATTGAATTTATCTGTCACTTCTGGTGTATGAGTTTCTTGTATACTTAGATCAATCTTCTCCTGACATCACTTTATTATTTAAGTGAGATAGGCTAGAAAATTTACCTTTAATCAAGTGAGTTACACCTTATTCATAGTTAAACTGTTTAGAACAGAGAAAAACAAATAATCTACATTTATAATCTACGTTAAACAATCAATGTCTATTCTGATTTTGTTTTTTAATTGACCAAAATAGTTTGTTTGCTTGTGAATCTCTTATAGTTCTACTGTACAACATTAGCAACATTCATATCATGTCGAAAAGATCATTCTACTCATAAATGAAGTGTTAAATCAATTCATTCTGATAGTCTTCTTTAATTGATCTATGATCATGTGGTTGATTCGTTTTTATTGTATAAATTAGATCTATATTGATGTACTTCCTGATTAGTGATTACTCTGAATTTCATGCTTTTAAGACTTCTTCATCTTTCTTGGAATTCACTCTATATAATATTTGAACATTTTTCCAGTAAGTGTTATGTCTGTCGTTTCATTAGTAGCAGTGATAGCATACCATGTTGTTTTGATATAGCGTATACTCATGTATAAGTAAATAAAGTATGATTCACATTATCCAATTTAGTTCTCGTAACGTGTGGCATAACTTATTCCATAGGTAATGCATTTATTTTCCTTAGATGTTGTATCTCCGCTTTCGCATAAATTACAATGAAGTTGATGCAATGGTTTGTGAGAAAACCTAGTTTTAAACAATTTCTCTCAATTATGAACAAAAACAAATAATATCAGATGGGTTTTTTTGGATATCATAGTAATTTCAGTGGTTAAGATCATAAGTTAGTTGAAGCTAGACCACCATGGAAAACCTGGAATCACTGGACGGCCGTTTCGTTCTATTGTGAGACTCCTCAGAAGTGCGCATCCACGACCTCGCCCCCTACGAGATTCGAACCCAGGACGAAACGGCCGTCCACTGCTTCCAGGCTTTCCATGGTGGTCTATCTTCATCTGACTCATGATCTTAACCGTTGAAAAAACAAACAATTTTGATTAATGAAGGTATACAAAATAGGTGAACCAACACCACTAGATTGATCCAATTTTTTTGCTTATTCCTACTCCATGTCAGCATCGAGTTAGTAGATAAAAGACTTATTCACATATATTTAAGCATTTTAGGGGATAATGATCTGATATCGATAAGATCAGCATTTGTGAATTAAATTTATACTAATCCCAGCTACATAATGTATTGTTATGGTCTGTCATTAAAATGCAAATATGAAAGCTTCTAGTAAATGAGTGAGACAGTATTCACTTAAGAATCTTATTGATTATTTTCCTAAATGTTGTTTATACTACTTATATTATATGTAGCCTACCTTTGCTTATGAGAACTTTTGGGAGAATTTTGAATTTTTTTAAAAAAATAACTACTTATGGGATAAAGAATTGTCTCGGTAACTGTCATGATTTTCAAAGAAAGAAAGAAATTTGGCAGAAAAATTAATTACCGCCTGGTGACAAGAAAATCAATTGATTAATATTATAAGGGGGGGAAGGAGGTTAGAAATTAATAAAGAATCATATAAAATGATCAACTTCTATTCAATTCAATTCAGTAAACGTATAAATTCTATACATTAAATAGATTTCCTAATTTTTCAATATAGTAGACTGAATAGTTTTCTGACATATTATAATCATTTAAAAGGAAATAGTTAAGGAATTATTTTAATCAACCGATCAAGTTTAGTTTGCATAAGTTTCCAACAGACTTTTCCACTCTTTGTAGTTTTTTTATGAGAAGTAAAGTAGGTTAAGGGGACTTCAATAGGTATTTTTAGAAGATATAGTGACGTCAATTTGGCGTCTAATGTCAACTAAGTCTACGTGAATGAAGCTCTTGATTATTTATGTCTGTCATGTTTTAAAGTATTAAAATTTATGTTCGAAATTAACATGATGAATTCATCTACTCATATACTCAATATACTTAACTTTCTAGTAACAATCAGCAGAGGAAGATTTAGATGATAATGGGTGGCACTAGATAGCTTTTATTTGTTTCGTGAACTCATTTTTGACTAACTGTAATCTCTGTCCAGTTACTATATTCATATTATCATCTAGTTATGAAACGGGGCATATTGGAACACAATCGAGAAAATCTGTCCACTATTGTGAGTTACTGTACTAACTTTAACCATCTAGAAATTAACTTTTCATTGGTTAGTATTCTTGCATGACTGGTAAGAACTAAGCCTAACAGTCAGATCTTAATTCATTGGACAGTAACTGATCTACAGAACAGATTTCATCCTAAATTTATCACATCATTTCCGTGTAAATGATTTGCATAGACATATTCATTTTCTACATAATATGTTCAGGTTAATGACCTTGTCTTTGATTTAAAATCATTTAGAAGCTTCCCTTTATAGTTTGGTTTCGTAAACAACCAACTTATCATCGATAGATCAATAAATTTGTCCTAAACTTTGAATAATCAAAAGTTTGCTCATTAACTTATTAAATGATTTATCCATAATGGAAGTTTAATGAAAAATGCATGCCAACAACTCGATAAAAGCTTAAATATAACATCCAGATAATTATCAGTCACCTTCGGTTAATATTGCTTCTAGCTTGGTAAATACAAACATGATATTACCATGATATTTGGTAAGTCAGCTTAGTGAAAAAGTTGTAAATATGATCGATAGCGTTTAATAAACATTAATGACTGAAGTATTGAAGATTACAACGCGCTGGTGGATTGGTGTAAATTTTAGAATCTTGTACTAGTTTCACTGATATGAACTTCAAGAATAATGTTTCTAATTTTTTGTTGATTAAAGAATCCTGAAAAACTGACGACTTCTTTAAGGTAGAACAGTGGAAAATCTCAAATTATGAAATGACTTTTAGATGATTAAGATGATATTTATTAGCCCATTCATGGAAATTGTCAACTTTCCTCTATTACCATAAGGGCAGGTGTAGATTGCTGAATGTTGAAAGTATCATCACGAACTACTTTCATTCAAACAATAAGTGGGAAATAGAGAGTAGTGGTCAGCTGTTTCGTCCGAATGTGAGACTCCTCAGCAGTCCATATCCACAACCCCACAGAATCATCGAAAATATTACTCCCATGTCTCGTATAAAGCCTCTAATTTTTAGACCATTGAGATAGTATTCAATAATTTATATATCTAAATTCGATCAATCCGTGCAATTGCGCAATCATCCTTCAATATAATCAGTAAGTAACTATCTCATACTTGACATGGTTAAACTCTACTGACGACGGTTTCTCGTCAGAACTAATAGAATCATTTTCCGAAATTAAGCTCTAGCGAGCAAACGAGGGTAATCGTGGCAAAACAACTGTCCAATGCTTTCTGTTTTATTTTTGTGATTGTTCAGCTATGATCAATCTGTGATGTAAACTATAGAATCTCGCTTTTCAATTAAATTTACTGAATTACTTGTATTTAATCCTTAGTAATCTGTTTTATACCAAAACAAGATAACTATTTAGTTAAATAACTGTGAATTTCGTCTCATTACAATAGTCCATGTCACTAAACAATTAACTCAATATTTTTTTTCTAAATCTACTCATTACCATCTATTTAAGATTCAGTTTTTTATTACAATTCCTAATTGACTCTATTCAGTAGACGAAAGTAATTATGTCAAAGTCTACTAATATTCATTAATAAGTAATATTTTCGTCACCAAAATAAAAATCATATATAATGACTTCACTTAATAACCATTCTTCTATAACTAGACTAAAATAACAATGTTTTACGTAATAATGAATTCAATAGTATAATGCAATCCCTATCCAGTTACTATGCTCATATTATCATCTATAATAAGAAAAGTAGCAACAACAACAACAAATGAAAGCAATAATTTATGTCTATTTTCCCCCCTAAGAATAATAATAAAATAATCATTAAAAAATGTAATTACTTTTCAATTACGTTACCAAATGAAAAAACCATATCAGGTTACTATAGTTCTCCTATGAAAATTAATAACGATGCTTAGTTTTATTAATTTATAATAAAATTCTAATTAAATTCATTTTAATAGTTTGTTTCTAACGCCCTCCCCCTTCCCCCTCCCTTTTTTATTATCCTGTATATCTCGCTTATTATTATGACGATGATGATTATTATTGAGTTTATCCAACTGGTTACATTTAAATCATCTCAATATGATGTAACTTTTCACCGACCTTTCATTATATAAGTTACATTATCAATGTAAAAATGTACAGAAATAAATGACATATATTGAATCAATCTTATTGGAACATTATTCTTCTAGTAGATTTTCTTTTCATTGTCACCAGTTCTGGTTGATGATTCAATTTTGTTACAAGATAAATAAAAACAAAAACAACAACTAAATTGTGATAAATTTTAGAATATTTTTTTTCTCTTTTTTTTTCTTTAAAGAATATTTTTAGTATAGAGATATTGTTAATGTTGTAGATAAGTAGTTTTGTTAGATGGTTTACTGTACTGCCGGCAGTACACTAAAAGAGTGTTGTATCCCGATGAGAATAATGAATGGCAATTTTTGGGATCCAATTATGGACCAATATTATGAGTATATTTTTTATTGTATAATTGTTATGTAACTAAACTGTTCATATTCATGACCCTCTTATTATGAGCTTTATGTTGACCTATGAACTATTATTGAACGATTTACCATTTATGAATTATTCGCTATCTGTTAATCGCTACCTCACTCATTCACAGCCACTTCTGGCTAATTATTGTACAAATGTTATTTTCTATTCTATTGGTACGTTGTGGTCGGGTTGATTGGTATATAAACAGAGTATGCTTGAAATACGAAGATTCATATTACAGAGGCTGAGACTTGCGTTCTGGACTCAACTGGCTGGGCTAGACAGGGAAGCAGGGCCAATCAGAACTCTGGGCCGTTTTTACGTATTTACGCTTCTTTGGTTCGATCGATAATACGTTGTCGTCTAATCTGCAGACACAAGTTACAACAAAGAGGAAGTTATGAATGTTAAAAAATGTTTAAAGAATAACGGATATCCACTGAAATTTATTGAGAAATATGGCAAACGTGAAGATAAAAAAAAACAAAGAAATTACAGCAAATAAAAAGCTTATTTTTATTCAACTTAAATTCAAAGGTGATGATGTCAGAGGTTCAATCAATATGAGACTAAAAACTGCATTGACAAGAACTTATGCTACAGCAAAATTGATTGTCCTCACCAAAACAACATGTTCATTGACACAATCAAAGGTTGACAAGTATCTCTTTCATGTTATCACTAACTGTGTATACAAATTCACATGTATCTGTCAAATCAGTTACATTGATAGAACAGAAAGGAGAGTCTACGTCCGATTCAAAGAACATATTCCGAAAAGTTTAACATCAAATGGACTGAAAGCATTTAACAGTGCCATCGCAAGACATCTCCTTGACAGAGGACACGAAGTCGATACACTGAAGTCCTTCAAGGTGATTAATAAACAATCAAGCTACAACCTTCAGAAATGTGCTGAAGCGTTAGCAATCTAAAGTATAAAACTAGACCTATGTATACAAAAAGAGACAGTAATAAATCTTTCTTTACCCTGGTAACAATACCCCTCCCTTTTTTATTTATTATGTCATTCACTATTCCAACTCTTCCTGAATTTTAAAATTACGTCATTCATAACTAACTGATTTCAATTCCTATTTTCTTTATTATCATTAATCTATTTTCATGAGTTCTAATCACTATTTCAATGTTCCGGAACTTTCCCTCTCTAACTTTATTTATTCGAGACAAAATTTTATAACCTCATTAACTCTATCGGAATCTTCGCTACACCATGATACATTTATTCATCCTTAATCACCCTCTTATGTATAAATATGTCAATATCTGTAATAATGTTGAATTTTAAATAATTTAGGTTGTAAGCAGCTGATGAGAACCTAACGAAGTAAAACGAATTCATGCATTATTCTGTACCAACCTTTGTTCTTGCTCCCTTTAAGATGGTTTACTGTTTGAAGATATAGTCAATTATATATAGAGACGGGGTTTTGTGGATATTATAGTAATTTTAATAGTTGAATTTATGAATCAATTGAAGCTAGACAACCATGGAATGCCTGGAAGCATTGTTAAAATTACTATAATATCTAATTATATGCTCACTTGTGATGATGATCTCAAAGAGGTATGTAGCGTGGCGTCAAGTCGCGGTAGACTATGAACACCGTTACAGAGAAACACGTGCCAAATAAATCCATAAAATCCCCCGGAAGCCAAATATCAGAAGGCAGTTAATGGACCAAGTCGAGATATATTTGTTGGCGATCTCGTGGTATCGAAAGAATACCGAGATCGTGCCAGGATACAAGCTTGGTTACAGAGCGTAACCGAATTCGCGCGAGGTCACAATCAAAGTGTAAGAATAATAATGGAAGCATAATATAGCTGTCATTAGCACAGTTAAACAAAGAGCACATTAAACAAGCACAGGTACAATTGGTTATAATAATAATAATTGTTTTCATTAAACCAATCGTGTTCTCGTGATAAAAGTGAGTCACTACAGGTATTTCCTGGAGTTCTAGTGAAAAGCAGTAACTAGTGGAGTTCAACCGAATCTGTTATGAGATAGTAACTTGCTGATGACAATGGTGGATGTGTCGCTCAATTTTGTGAATTAATTGAAGTTATACATTAATAGCGTTGGATGCCGGCTCAGTGGTCTAGTGGTTAAGCGTTCGCGCGCGAGACCGATAGGCTCTGGGTTTGAATCGTGGATACGTATTGCTGAGGAGCTCCACAATAGGACGAGTTGTCCACCCAGTGATTCCAAGTTTTCCATGGTGGTCTAGCTTCAATTGACTCGTGAATCCGACTATTAAAACTAACATAATCAATTGTTTTGAAGGAGATTAAACAATATACGATACTAAACTACCGATAGTCTATGAAACAGAATAACTGATAAAAGACTCTTTTATGTCACATTATAATGACAATTTACAAATTTCATTATATTTAATTCTGTAATAAGTTTAAAATGGGATAGATTCAGTGGTCAGATAAACTGATGAGAACAGAGAAACAAAGCACACCCGAAATTCCTCTAGCTACTTTTAACGTTGAAATTTATCCATCTTATACATACATCGTCAACCAACTCTGGAAGGTTATTTACTTAACAAACATACATTGCTCAACGATGCTTAGGTGATATTTGCTTATGATAATCATATTACTTGTGAGCGGCCAAAATGCTTTTGACAATTTTTATTTAATATTTTCACTTCTTAAATTTATAACAACCTTTTCTATATTATTAGTATAATATTTTGTGAAAATTGTAAAACCATGAATTGACCTTTGTTAGACCATCATAAGAAACCTAAAAGCACTAAACGACCATTTCATTCTAGCATGAAACTTCTCAAAAGTCCATATCCACGAACCTATCATAGCGAATCCAAACCAAGGCGTTCGGTCTCCCGGACATGGTTGAATTCAACGTCTTGTGTTTGATTGTCTATGGAAGGGTCGTGGTTAGGCATTATTCAAGAGTTCCATACTGATACGAAACAACTGCCCAGATTTCATGGTTTTTTCATCTGATTGGTTATGTTAAACTCGTCATTTTTTAATGTTAAAACTCGTTCAACAAGCTGCTTACTACTACTTTCAAACAACGCAATTTTGTAAATTTTCAGTTTATAATATCTAACTAACACTTCAGGAATTCCTTACTCTTATCCTTTGTGCATATAGTTAATAAATGAAATTGACTTAAACAGAAAAACAAGAAGCGATGACAAACAACGAAAGTTATTTTTGGGGACGTTGTTTCACTTAATTCAAAGCTTGTAAAACACTAACATCTGGTTTTTTTTTCCTAGTTAACTCTACAAACCATAAGCTTTCGTTTGATGTATGATTCACTGCCATACTCTTTTCTGTGTTACTCATCGATTTCTTCATGTATCTTTTTGAACTAATCTGAATCAGAATGTGAATCGGAGTTAGAGTCTAGAGTAGATAGAGTAATGTTCCAGTTGATTTGTCTTCTCACATTTGCGCTTGTCAATCAACCAGGTGATAGAATCGTTTTCATCTGTCTACACAAGACAGTTAGTTTCATTTCAGAATCACAAGGTTGAACAAGTTAGCCTATTATGTCAATGTCTTAATCTAGATTGAGACAAGTTCTAACCTGTATATTATTAGGTAGACGGATCAAAGACGTAACACTACCCATAAGCTACATGTATTTTGTTAGTATTAACAGTATTAACTTACAGTTTGGACTAAAGTGGAAATCAAAACATAATAGTTTAATCACTGACTTAAAGGTTCTAATAATAACTAGAATCTAGATCATGTCCTTATCAACTTTTACTTCCCTCCTTTCCAGATGGCAAAAAGTCAGTTTCACTTCACTACACTGGAATACTTTTCTATTCTAGTTTACGACTCTGAAGTAATACTAACCGACAATCCCACCTGAAGTGTCGACGTAAACTGACTTTGAATCCTATGAAATTCCCCATAAAATTACCACAACAAATAATTCATTACTTTTGTCAAAAATTACGCAATTTCCTTTATTGATCTTTGCACTTTTTTTTCATTTCAGCTGTTTTATGCCATTCTATGGACCGCAGTGTGAACATAAAGCTCCTGGTAAAGATAAACAAATTGAAGTTGAAGAAATACAAAGTAAGTTATGCAGTGGAAATATTACATTATGGTTTGGGTTATTGTTATTGATCAATATGCGTTTGACAACTTTCGTCGTAACAAAATGATAGTAAATTAGTATATCATTAGTCTCGTTGCAAAGATTAATTTCTTACTTAGCCAATAGTTCACTTTCATCAGCTTCAGTTCAGTTTGAACGAGATTTGAATTAATATCTAGGGTCTTTGAATATTCAATAAGCTTATGCTTAATGTTTCAATATCTATTCAGTTCGTAGTATTGTTCATTTAGTTGGGTAATGTTTCATACAGGACTCTACTTTACATTATAAATCTCTTTTAACACCGTCACATTTAGTTTTTTTCATAACCCATGTCACTTGCGTTATAGTATTATTTTAGTCAACTGAAATGAACTAAGAGATGATCAAAAGTTCTAGAAACGACACGGGCATCTAACATTGAAGATATTGGGGATAATTCTAGTTCAATGTTTATTTAACTGGTATTCAGATGATGAAAGAAATTTTGTTAAGATCCAAACTCGCAAACACTATACTTAATGATAAAGTTCAATGATGAGGTTTATGAAGTTGAAGTGACCGAAATGCTTTCAATATTATTTAAATCAAAAATATGACTGAACTGATTGTTATCGATCACTTAACTGATGACTCTTTGTCACTCATTTAGACTTAAAGGATAATGTATAGAGCGTTATTTGATTTCTAAAAATAGAAATCATTGAATCATGAGGGCGTTCATACTACTAGGATAAACATTGACCATTACCTACTAACTGGCTGGTTGATCACATTGTGTCAACAAGATTAGTATAAACAACAGTTGTACAGTGGACGAAATAATTATTGCGAATGACAAATGGATTTGCATAAATAATCCTCTCTGAATGCACAAACCATACATAAATGAAATATATTTCCATGTTGGTTAGATGATAATACACGTCGGATCCTGAGAAACCCTACAAACAACCTTGACTATATCATGAATCAGTAGAATAGACTAAAAAAGTAATTTACCATCTCAGATACAATCTACATAAATAGCAAGTGTTGTTTACAATTCAACTCAAACGTAATATTGTAGTGTCAGTTATTATGTTAAGCCCATATACTTTATTCTATTCATTCTGCTTGAGTCATATTTTGACCTTGTTAATTATTCGCTTATCAATCTTGACTTTTTATATGAGTGTATATGTGTGTACACTTCATATCCCATGTCTCATCACATGTCTGTAGTTTATTTTGTCTGCCTATAAATATTGAGTAACGGCTGGCTAAAAATGAGTTGACTTACCAGCCATCTCCCCTGGGCGTCGTTTTGCTTTGTCCTATTACATTCACTTTACACACAAAATATATATATTCAGAGGCCATTCTCGTTAATTGACTTATCTAAATTCCGTTATTGATTAACGTGATTTAAGTAGATGATTGTGTACGAGGATATGTGATAACAAGCATTCGTACGATCTAAGTGGAGTCAGATCAACGGGCCACTAAAATATCCTACTCATGACTTGGTTACACAACAGTTACATTCATTATTTTCAAAGCATTTTCCAAATTAAATTTACTTCATTTTTATTCAGCTCTTATTAGAATACAAGTTGAGCGTCATGCAAAACAAAACAAAAACAAATCCGAATCTGGTTATCTTAATTCTAATTATCAAACCAATTCATTGCTATTTACATGTATCATTGATTTCAATCAGTGATATTATTTTCACTAGCTTTAAGTGAATATCTCTTCTAAATTAAATTTTAATTCATAAATAGAATGAATTGAGATTGATCATATCTTTGTGATTACTTTTTTCTAACTCATTGTAAAGTTGTTTAATGGATAAGCATTAGGGTTATAAAGATTGTTAAGCATTTGATTGAGATCACTGAGATCGATTGATATTAGACCATTATTGGAAACCTGGAAACAATCAACGGACAACTTATCCTAGCATGGGACTCCTCATTAGTGCGCAACTACGACCCCGCACACGGGATTCGAACCCAGGACCTTCGGTCTCACTCGCTAATGCCTAACCTCTAGACTGATGAGCCGTCATCCAACGGTGTTAGTCTAACTTCCATCGATCCATAAATGGTTTCACAACCATTCGTCCATTGTCTGGGGTAGATACCAGTCTCTGCACGACACAGATTGATAAGTGTTAAGCAATGCTCATTGATATATATTTTAGAACTATTGATGATATATATATATATATATAATGATTTATTTACCTCTTATTTTCATCATAACAATAAAATATTTTATTTCCTCCTCCTTTTCATTATTACCAATATTATCAGTTTAATAGTGAATAAATAGAACATAATTTTTAATGACAAAACGATAAATAAATCAATTTTTATCATTATGAAGATTTATGGAGATTGTAGTAGACTGACAGTTGAATTCACGAATCAATTTAAGCTAGTAAACTATTGAAAACCTGAAGGCACTGGACGGACAGCTCGTCCTAGTATGAAACTCTTCAGCACTGAGCATCTACGATATGTCACACAGGACTAGGACCCAGGATCTTGTATCTTGCAAGTGAACGCTTAACCTCTAGATCACTGAGCCGGCCAACTGTGTTAGACAGTAAGGTGTTACAGTTTCCATTACAATAAGTTCAGGGTGTTTTTCAAAAAAAGAATGTCGTCGTTACAGAACACAAAATCTAATAAAGATATCTAAAGTAATAATTGAAATATTCAAACGTTTTTTTCTTGTAAAATTATGATCAAACTATATTCGTATTTGAAATGATTTTTTTAATTACTATTGATGTAAAGTTGATAAAAACATGATTCCTTCTAATAAATCGTTCAGTTTTGTTTAAAAGATAATAAAATGACTTCATTTAGGTAATGTGGGCCGATAGATCCTGGATCCGAATCCCGCGAGACTGGATCATGAATGTGCACTGTTGAAGAGTCCCACGCCGTTCAGAGCTTCCAGGTTTTTCAATGGTGGTCTAGCTTCAAACGACTTATGATCTCAACTATTAAAATATAACTATCTGTTTAAGAAAATTAAGTCATTGTTTTCAACGGATAGCGCATATCTCTTTCATGTAGAAAATGAAACGAATATAAGGAAAGTTAAAATTCGCTGAGCTATTTTCCGGATAATTATTATTTATATTTTCAGTGCATGATTAGTAGATAACTATTATATTACATTTCTATATTCCCTTTATTGTAAGCTTCCAATTGATCTATTAGTTGTTTTTATTACACGTTACTATTCTTCAATTATTGCTATTTGATTATGTAATGTATTCTTCTTCCTCAGTCATATATTGTATGATAGTGCTAAGAGCACAAATTCTAACTTGGCGTGCTATGCGGTCAGGGATTTTCAATACATTATTTTATAAGTTTTTAGCCGTGATTGAATTAGATACAATAGTGAACTAATCTGCCTACTATCAACGTCTTCTGATTGACCCTTAGGTTAGAAAGGGGCCAGAGGGCCAATCAGTATTAAGGCTTTGATTATCATTCATTAGTCAGTCTATAAATTCATGAAATTGGTCACTGGTCCCACTAGCAACATAGTACGTGATATCAACTAGTCATTCTCAATCATTAACCAGCCTTCTTTTTTGGCAAGACACAACAAATGTCATCTGGAATTGCAATGAAAGCTTCACAATTAAACCATCCAACTTAGAGAATACAGCACCTTATATTATTCAAACTTTAAAAACCATAGGATTAAATACATATTATACAAAATCATAGCACAGCATAAATGATAATTCACCATATGTACATATTAGTGATTTTCTTGATAATAGTTTGAATAATGGGTTCATAAGGAATTAAGAATGATCTATGTACGAAAAATAATATGACATAATACACATGAGACCAATCAACTGCCGTCCTAAATAACAATTAGAAGATACAAGTAGAACAACACCAAGTGAATTTAAACTTCACCTCATTTCACAAGCACGTGGCTATCAGGACTCAGTAGTTAAGTGGATAATATGATGGCGTTTGAAGCGAATGGTACTAGGTTAGAGTCCCAAAGTGAACATCAACTCTGTGATGCAGGTACATCCAGCTGACCAGTGGTCCCAAATAGAAAGAAACGCGCGTCCCGGATTCCACTGCTAGCCACTATCCATCTTTGCTTAAAAACCTTGTGACTTAAGGCTATATTGAGGCAATCCTCAGAGGATGCACATATGCCAACATGAGACTGATCAGTTTATGTCCTAAATAACAATCGGAAGATACAAGTAAAACAACACCAAGTGAATTTAATATGACAGTATTTGATACGTCAATTGGGAACTTACAACTAGGAATGTATAGGAAAACCCTAAGTCGATCATTTAATTAATACAAAATAAAAATATGTATGTAAAATGATTCAAAGGAGAATAGTTTTCAAAGTTTCCTATTCTCATTTATTTACTCAGTCATAATAAATTCAATGGACTTAATTTCATTTAATAAATATTAACTATCAATTTAAGTGTCATTAAATTAGTTTAATTATCAAATATGCTTCTATCTTACCATAGATGGAATTGTGACTGGTTAGGGAATTTAGAAAGCACATTTTGTGTTAATGTTTCCAATGGGACACAAACACAATATCTTTCGCTTCAAATACATTGACATGATATTCACTAGGAACTAACTGGTGGACATCAATATTAACATATAAGTATATCCAGCTGATAGATTTCATAATAAGACGAAATATAGGTCTTGGATTTCACCCTTAGCCATAATTCCATCTATTCTATACAAATTTGAATATAGTGAATATATCAAGATGGTTCCTACAAGGTGCAAATATGTCAACAAAGATTGATCAGAAATCAATTATGAATATTAACAATAGAATTACTCAGAAGGCAAAGCAAGGACAGCATTCCTACAATTGAAGAACATATGGAACTCAAAACAACTTTCAACCAATATCAAAGTGAGAATCTTCAATACGAATGTCAAGGCAGTTCTACTGTACGGAGCTGAAACTTGGAGAACTACAACAACCATCGTCAAGAAGGTGTAAGTATTTATAAATAGTTGTCTACGCAAGATACTCAACATCCATTGGCCGGATACCATCAGCAATAGCCTTTTGTGGGAGAGAACAAACCAGCTTCCAGCTGAAGAGGAAATTAGGAAAAGATGATGGAAATGGATAGGACATACATTACAGAAATCGTGAAACTGCATCACGAGGCAAGCCCTAACTTGGAATCCTGTAGGAAGGCGGAAAAGAGGAAGGCCAAAGAACACATTACGTCGGGAAATAAAAGCAGATATGGAAAGGATGAATAACAACTTGAAGGAGCTGGAAAGGATTGCCCAGGACAGGATTGGATGGCGAATACTGGTGAGCGGCCTATGTTCCTTCATGAGGAGTAACAGGCGTAAGTAAAGTAAGTAAGTAAATTACTTAGAAGTATACTAATAATGATACTTTTACAAAACTACTCATTTCTAAAGTTTAATAAAGTATTATATATTGGTTTTTATTCTTGTTTTATTTTCATTTTAGAAAATATAAATCATCATGAGAATCATGAGAATAATGAAGGTTTTATGATTAAAAGATCAGTTGATCGTGCAATGACATTGACTGCATTAATATTCATTGTGGTCACATTTTTAGGAATGTTAATTTTAGCTTGGTATATTTCTAGGTAAGTGATTATTTTTCAATACAGAATTTGAATTCACTATGGTGATGAGCTAAATGTGATTTTTTTTTAAAATAATTTTATGCTGATTGGCTTTGAGGTACTGACTTATTTTAACCAATCAGAAAGTGACAAGTATAAATAAATGAAGGTTAATTTACTTACTTACGCTGTTATGTTTCCGACTAGGATCTCTAACCAACTCTGTTTTAGGCTCTTTTTTCTAGTTATTTCCAAGTACTATTCATTCTTTTGATGGCTGGCTCCAATTTCCGGTGCAATATATTTCTTGGTCTGTTTCTTTTATTTTCCTCAGAGGATTGTATGTTAGGTCGTGCTTTATAGTGCTTTTTAATAATTTCCGCAATGTTTGTTCTATCCAGTTCCAGCATCTTTTGCTAATTTGCTCATCAGCACGAAGGTGACTTGTTCTCTGACACAGTATGTTGTTACTGTTGTATCCGGCCAACGGATATTGAGTATCTTGTGTGGATAATTGTTTATAAATACCTAGACCCTTTTGACGATGGTTATAGTAGTTCTCGAAGTTTCAGTCCCATACAGTAGAACTGTTTTAATTTCTGTATTCAAAATTCTGACTTTGATGTTAGTTGACAATTTTGTTTGAATTCCAGAGGAAATAAGTAATTTCCACATGATTAATGAACTTTTCTAAGTTTCTAATAGATTCTTAACTGCTAGAGTCAAAGGTTAGTATCGAGCTTTGGTTCATGGAGTTAATATTAGGATTTTGGACTTAGCATCATAATTCTTATCTTAAATCTGTTTTTAAACCCGAAATCTTTATTCTTAAGTCAATATCATATCCTTAATCTTATCTCTAATTCTAAACCCAAAATTCATAACCTTGAGCGTAGTACTAGCTCTTAATTCTACATTCTACATCTTGATTCAGATTGAACAATAAATCAGTAGAACTTCTTAACAATACCTATTATATTATATTTCATTCAGTAGAATTAACAACGATATAATAGATGGTCATCATTTCAATTTGATACGGTTCGAGAAAGCAATCCCAATGAATGATAGTTAATTGTTGCAGAAATAGAAAACAGCTTTTCTGTATAATTAGTTCATAAAAAAAGGCAATAATATTATAAAGGGTAAAATATTTTCATATAAAGGTTACTATCCCTATAAAACACAATAACAGTTATGTCCGAATTCGTCCATATAGATATAGAACACTTGCTTTCTTGAACATTCATATGAATCCAGATAGTATCTTAGACATTTATACATTGCTCCTAGCTAGTGATTAAAAAGTTATAAAGATTTAGCATTAAGATTAGGGACTTAGGATCAAGGTTTAAGATTAACAATATAGAATTTGTATTTAATGATAGGCTTGGGTTCAATGTCATTTACAACATACATTAGAAAGAATTAACATTTAACACTCTTTATACTAAGAAGAGTTAGTAATATGTCACGATTTATAATTGCGTAATCTAGTATTTGATATAATGAACGATTTAAAATATATTTTCTCTCTATCAGGGATACTAAGCTTAATACGATAATGAGATTAATCACGTTATGTGAAATTCATGATCCATAACCAAGAATAGAGAACCAGAATGAGTAAAGACTATATAATACTTTATTCAACACAGTTATAAGTAGTCAAATTCAGTGAGTTCGGAGTAGAAACGAGTGAGAGGAAAGGAAATCACATACTTTTGATAGTCAGTAGACTAAATGCTTGTTTATCAATACTTTCACTATCGTATATCAGTATTAAAGAATAACGTGTGAACCACTTCAATCTTATTGATAAATTACAGACTGAAATAGATGAAATTAGTGCAGTTTATTCTAACTATTTTACACTACTTACATATGAGTGAATAACACTTTGGTATTCTAGACAAGCAATTTTATAATTCCCAAGTGATCTATTCATTAGAAACAATTGGATTTCATAACCAAATCGAACAAACAATAAATTACATCACAGATTAATCTGCAATGTATTTCTGTTTAAAAACTGAAAACATTCAACACGTAGAATTACTCTTAGTATCAAAGTAGGCTTATAGTTGAAAAAAAGACAGTTCATACCAATCCAAGACCATAAATGATCAGTTATTTAGTAATCAGAATAAGATTTTGTGGAGATTGTAATAATCGAACAGTAGAATTCATTAGTTGATTAAAGTTAGACCACCATAGAAAACCTGGAAGCACTGGATGGCCTTTTCAATTAGGAGAGTCCTATACTAGGACGAAACGGTTGTCCAGTGTTTCAGAATTTTCCATGATGATCTAGATTAAATCGACTCATGAATTCATTTATTAAAATGACTACAATCTCCACAAAAAAACCCATGAATCTGATAATTCTTAATTTATTTAAAATTGTTTAAATGGAACATAATGAGGTTATAAATAAATAATATATTTGTAATATCCTAATGAGTAGGAAAATTAGATTTTCTGACGTTTCGTGACTTGGTGTAAGTCACTTCTTCAGAGAATAAATAACCAAATTCAAATTAATCCAAGTTTAAATAGTAGTTCCGTTGTACTATTTAAACTTGGATTAATTTGAATTTGGTTAGTTATTGTCTGAAGAAGTGACTTGAACTAAGTCACGAAACGTCAGAAAATCTTATTTTCCTACTCATTAGGATATTACAAATATATTATTTTTATTTATTTATAACAATCTATTCAATGCTCAATTTATTCGAAATGATCAAATCAAACCATGGTAATGATTCCGATAATCAGGTCACGTTGCATGTTGTTTAAATTAATATAAATGAAATTAATTTATTTAAACAAAGAAAAGAAATTACTTTTCAAGATCAGGATTTTTATTTTTGAACGGTTATCAAGGTCAACTTGATATTTTGTGAATAGAATACATGTTCATATTCAATAATCTAATATATTATTGAAATTTGTACATAAAGTTATAGAGCGAAAATTAAACAATCATCTTTTCAATGTCATTCATTCACTTATTATTATCTAACTTGTGCTTAAACCATAGTTTTAATAAATTAAATACTAACTAAAGTACTATGTATTATTATAATATTTACTCTATTACTATAATATCCACAAAACTCCTTCTGATAGTAATCAATATATGCTCACTAATAACTGGCTTTAAGATGTATATCCTGGAGTTTTAGTGAGAAGTAGTGACTAATGAAGTTCAACTGGATCAGTTGTGAGATAGTAACTCACTGATGACAATGGTGGATGTGTCGCTCATTCTCGTGGTTTATTTGAAGTTAGATATTGACATTGTTGGATGCCAACTCAGTGATGTAGAGGTTAAGTGCTCGTGCGTGAGATTGATAGGTCATGGGTTGAAATCTTGCGAGGCGGGATAGTGGATGAGCACTGCTGAAGAATCCCACAATAAAAAGAAACAACTTTCCAGTGCTTCCAGGTTTTCCATCGTGGCCTAGCTTCAAATAACTCATGATCTCAACTATTGAAGTTACTAAAATATCCACAAAAACCCCTTCTGATATAATTAATAATTTAATACCGAATTAAGGACTGAAGTGAAGATGTTGTCAGAAATAAGAAAAAGCTTGTCATATAATGTATAATTTAGTCTGATAAAACGTTTCGAGAATAGCTATTTTCACAGTTCAATTGACGAGTCGATCTAAACTAGACTAACATGAGAATCCAGGTTTCGAGCCCCGCGCGCGAGATCATGGATTAGCACCATTGAAGAATCCCATACTAGAGTGATACAGTTGTTGAACGCATCCAGATCTTCTTTGATGGTTTAAGTTAGATCGACCCATGAATTCAACTGTGAAAATAAGTTAGAAGCCTACTTTATGTGATATGACAAACAGATTTGTAGATGGATAGATAGATAAATGGATAGATAGAGAAGCAAGGAATGTTTCTGGGACATCCAAATGACCTTGGAATTCTAGAAGCTCATTAAAAGTTTGATCAGTCGGACTAAAGAAAAATGTAATCAGTTGAATTTTCAACTTTTGAAATTTCACTGAAGTCTAATAACTTTTCAAGTACTTTTTAACGAATGTTTCACCAGTTTTCTATTTATTTAGTATCATCTTGTGAAAAAATGTATTTTCAGAACTCAGAAATAACTTTGGTTTAAAAATCATTGTTTTAGGTTACTTTTTACTTGAACACTGCCATTACATTATCTATTTAACTAATAATCCTCTTCTTGGTTGTATTCGTCACAGATTATTGTCATTTGAAGCACCAGTGAAAATGAAGATGCACTAGACTTGTTCTATCCTAGTATGGAACTCTCCAACAGTCCTTATCTACTACTTTAACATCTGCCAAGATCAATCTGTGACAAATGCATCCTGAACATTAGATTCATTCACCACAAAACTCCTGAAAGTTATGATCATATTACTATTTTTTGGGGGAACTTTGGGTATTTTACGACTAACTTAGACCATTGTGACAAAACTTACATACTTATATGTGAATTAATTGGAAAAAGGTGTTTGATCACAAAATTCTTTAATATTTTTTTGATATCAATCCTTAACATACCTATTGAAGTTACACATATTCACTGATATTTTGTAACAGTTTGTTGTATTACTTATTTCCCACTTTTCAGTAATATACTCTTCATTTTACATTTTAGGCGTAGACGTAAAGATTATGCTAGATGGAGAAAAATGACCGAGTTAGCAATGAAGGTATTTCTGTTTAAAATGTTTTATGATGACATTTGTCTTGAAAAAAGCACTGTCTAACTGTTTATTATAGCATATAGAAAAACATTTTATTTTACTAAACTGGCTGCAAATACAAACGGTTAATAGTTTACATGTTATACTTTCGATTAAGATAAATGGTTGGATCACAAAACACTTGTTTAGTACTATTGAAGAGCCTTCAGCTAGATATGTCCAAGTCACGGGATTAATCTTTGTGATGCGGATTAAATTCATAACCCATAAAGCGTTATCTGTCAGTGTTATTAAAGTCATAATAGTCAACAACAATGTAATAATTATAACTTAAGCGGTTTGGTTTTCCCATTTTATGCATTCACCACTAAGTTTTCTTGAATTCCTTCGGAAATATGATCTGTTGAAACATGTAGTTAAGTATTGTGTGCACATCAGAATATTAGTTACGTTCTAAACGCGTATTTACGGTGAAGTTCAGGGACAGCGTTTCGCCCCATTTGTGATTCATCCGCTTAATCTACATCCATCGCTATGCTGTTGTTCAGACTTCTCAACTAATACAAATATCATACCTAGTAACTGAGATATGGATATCATAAGTCAGTAGCTTGGTTTTTGAATCGATGGATATGAGCTTTGAGTATCTTTTGTAAAACAGATTCAAGTGTACCACAAATTTTACTGTTAGGCTGTAGCTAATCAAATTAAACTCATTTTTGAGATGATGAAGAACTTTTGTAGCTCATATGAATATTATTGGTGGTATTATATTCTCTAATCGGAACGGTTGAGTTGCAAACCTTTCACCCTTGCTCTAAAAAACACCATCACGGCCTCCTTTATAAAGAAATGTGTTATCACTAATGTTCAGTCAGTTGACTGTGAAAGCCGCTGTGCAGTTATTTGATATCAGCGATAGGTATTCCTTACGTATATATATGTTTTAACATCAGTGATCACTGAAAATACTATTTAGTATAGCATGCATTTATAAGACCATAATATTTATAAAAAGAACTTGATATTAAGGCATTCGTACAAATAGCCCACAAGCTTCCAACAAGCACTGAGTGTAAATGCGACTATACAAGCTCTTATAAATGATAGTGCAAGTTATTGAATAATTTAGGGGTTTCGGGATAACTGATCGTAAACTCTGAACATAGGTTTCAAGCTAGTTGGCAATCGGCAAACTTGAGTGAATTGATAATTACTATAGAATTCGAACTCACAATCATCAGTTCCCGCTCTCATGATTCGAACCCAGAGCCTTCGGTCTCACTCATGAACGCGAGCGGGATCGTGGATGCGCACTGATGAGGAGTTCCATAATAGGACGAAACAGCCGTCCAGTGCTTCCAGGCTTTCAATAGTGGTCTAACATCAGTCGGTTCATGATCCCAATCAAAAACTTAATATCCTCCACAAGCCTATACTTACAGTTCATTTACTTAGAAAGAAAGACATACTAAGACCAATAAAATGTTAGAATCATAAGTGACACCTAGAATCTATCTTCCAACACAAATACTGTACAAACACATACAGACATTTTGAACTATTTTAAAATTGATAAACTGAGATAAATGCCCCTTTTTCAGAAAAAGGACCTTTTATTATTACTGTTACTTTTTTACTGTTATCCCAGTCAAATATCAAAGAGAAATCTGACAAACAAACACAAATCACATTTGATCATTCTGATGAGAAGGAAACTTCTTCAATAAATAAATCGATTCATTCTTTGGATAATAACAGTCATTTTGATGATGGTGATCCTGAGGTGGATAATGATAAACAAGACATAGAAGCCCAATTTGAGCAAGCCAAAACCAATTCAGAGCATAATGATCATTGTCAAAAACAAAATGATGAATATTCTGATTTTAATTTACGAAATGAAGGTAAAATATTTGGTTTTAGACTTGAACTACTTTAATAATGTATAAGTAGATGAACTGTTTTGTGGCAATTAAATTTAGCTACATATTTGATGGTAGGTGAATTTCCCCATGAACGTTTTGAATTATTTAGATAGTTTTATATAACCTTTGCTGACTGAACTTTTATATTTCACACAAAAGCGGACCTATTTCTGTTGTCATGTCAACGCATTAGTTAGGTGGATAGCGCTGAAAATATCCGGCTGCACCTTTGGGAGGTAATTACTCCCAATTTTTAAAGGTTCATTAGTGTCCTTCCCTCGGAGATCAATAATCTGCTTGTTTATATTTGAACTGTTAATGTCGAATATCATAATTTCTTTGATGAAGCATAGAAAGTCAAAGGTTGACGAAATATACTGATGGAGTTAAATGTTTTTTTTCATTTGTAAAGTGCATCCACTTTACGAGTTATAAATAGGAGAAAACAGAATTCCTGTATTCTAATTCTTCCCACTGTTCAATTTAACTCGGAGTGAAGTGCTTACTATTATTTGAAGTTTATTCACTTAGAAATTAATATCAGCTATCGAAACAGTGAAAGTTCTCCTTAAACTTTGATGAACTGAATTTGTATAATCCATTCATCTTGACAAAACGGTTCTTAACACTTGAAGTGGAAATTATGTTTCCTAACTTGTTTAAATAAGGATTGTTAGTTGACGGAAACAGGGAAGCATTCAATGGATCTGTTTCAAGAAAAGTAATCATTAAGATATATGCAGATATCTAGACAATTCTATTTGTCTAGAAATAACTAAAAATTCAGATTGCAATCTAGTTACTTTTGAGTTTATCTCTCGATTTCTATTTGGTTCTTAACTCGTAGTTGAAGTAGCAGTCATCATCAAGTTAAGCTGAGCAACATTTAGGTTGATTTCTTCTTGTGTTGTGTTGTCTGGTTGAAATCTTTGATCGGTTATCTGATCTTTCTACTTTTGTGGTGGTACATTTAACTTGGATATCATTTAACTCATGAACTGGACCAAGTTAGACCAACACTGAAAACCTAAAAACACTGGGGAGGTAGTGAGCCAGTTATCGACCCAAGGCAACGGAAGATGGTTGCTCCATTTCATGGATTCATTGGGGTTAAACATCGTTTGCGCTTGAGATCGAAGGTCTTGGGTTTGATTCCGGTGTGCGGTGTTGTAGATACACACTTCTTAGGATTGCCATCTAAGGATGAAACGGCCTTCTAGTGCTTTCCGGCTTCAGTGATGATCTGATATTGATCGGATCACGATTTCGAAGAAATTCAACAATCTGCACGATGTGGACATAATTTTGTTACTGATTGACATGATTAAGAAACCAGTGGACTGGAAGATCTTTTTGTCAGAACATAGGACATACATCTGTAACGTTATCAGGATTATATCCAGAAACTCCGTCTTTTAGTGAACACATTATTACTCAATACTTAATATCTTCACATTCAATCAATTTACGATAAAGTTTGGTGCTGGTGACAGGGCTGAAATTCACTAATCAGAGTATCTCACAAATTAACTGTAGATCAATATATGAAATTTGAACTAATTTGACTTCACCTTATGGTTGAATTGATGAATAATTAATCTTCTACTGACAAAAGGGTGATAATTCCTTACGAAAAAAAGTATTAAAAAAACTAATAATGGAACCTTTCAAAACCACTACTACAGTGAATGTAAACTCATATGGAGAAAAGCAATCTATGTTTAATACAAAAACAAACAGTAGCTTTGTAAAATACGAAAATCATACATTCAGTACATTGTTTGTATACCATTCTTCAGTTATCTTTAACATACTTCATCATTCTTCCAATCCTGTCATTATTTTGATTGTCCTTCGTTTTCCTTCCTTTTCTCTTTATTTTACTCTTCTGCTGGTAAACAATCAACTTCCAATTCCTGCTACGTACTATTTGTGTCTGTCCACATAAGTATTACATACCACAGTACTACTGAATAACAACTGAGAAGTTAATTTTCAGGAATTTTCATCATTCAGATTAGATTTAACTATGTTAGCAATGGTAATAAATTTTTTTATATTTATCATTTGTTTGTTAGTAGATTGAATAACTGGACACTTTGTTAAACCTAATATAATTAAGCCGGTATCCAATGGTTTTAATGTCTAACTTCAACTAATCCACGAAATTAAGCGCCCTGGGTTCGAATCTTGAGAGGCGGTATCGTGGATGCGCACTGTTGAACGACCGTCAACTGCTTCCAGGTTTTCCATAGTGGTATAGCTTCAGTTAACTCATGGTCTATACCATTAAATTTATTATAATATTCACAAAAACACCTTCTGATATTATGTAAAGATTGGTTTTAATTTACAGTTGATAGTCATTAAAGAATAAACTCAGTTTGAGTATCACTAGAATTTAATGAACATTGGACAGCTGTTTTATTCTGTCTGGTATGCAATTCTTCAATGATGTGTACCCCTGAAATCACTTGAACAAAACACACATTAAATAATCAATGAAGTTGGATGATATTCTAACTACTATGGTGAATATCACTTGAAAATTAAACAATATTAAATAGTTGATCTCATGAGTCAATTGAAGCTAGACCACAATGGAAAACCTGGAAACACTGGACATCCGTTTCGTCCTAGTATGGGACTTCTCAGTAGTGTGTATCCATGATCTCGCTCTCGGAATTCGTTCCCAAGACCTATCGGTCTTGCGTGCAGACGCTTAACCTCTATCCCACTGAGCCGGTGCATTGCTGAGGAGTCCCACAATAGGACGAGTTGGCCGTTCAGTGTTTCCAGGTTTTCCATGGTGATCTATTTTCAATTGACTCATAATCTCAACTATTGAAGTTACTATAATATCCACAAAAACCCCTTCTGTTTTGCTTTGTTTTAACTTTTAATCAAGAATTATCAGTTCAGAACACTTCAAAGATTGTGGAAACAATCAAATCTATTGGTGAACTGAATGCCTGCAAAGAGAATAACATAAATCAATTCAATTCTGATATAACTATAACTTCTAATACTATTACTGATAATAATGATTATAATAATAATAATGTTACAGAATTATCAAATAGCAATCATAATGAATTAAGTCAGAAAAAACGAACTAAAAGTAAACGAATAGCATCAAACTCAAACAATCAACTTATATCTAATCAATCTGTAATAGATCGTAATCAATTAACTGATACATTGAATGATAACATAATGAATAGTGATGAATATACAGATTTGAAAGAAGAAACAAAAGAGATAGGTAATTGTTTATTATGTAATTTAGTCTTTTTTCTTTTACTCTGTGTTTTTCAATGTTTAATTATTGTATAGTTTGCTTTCTGTTTGACGATGGATTTTAGTTTTAAGGATGGATGATGTGGTAGAAGGTATGTTTATGAAAACCTGAAAAACAGTAAGTGAATGGCAGTTGTTTATTGTAGTGTCTAAGACAGTGTTACACCTATATGGGTTATCCTAACTTTAAGACAGACTATTTAATTGATCCTCATTGCATCACATCTTGATCTTGTTGATTATTCACTTACATTATTGACTGCTTTATATAAAAGTGTTGTCTTAGGTTTGATTCCCATGTGCGATATTATGGATGCATACTGCCGAGGAGTTCCATACTAGAGTGAAACAGACTTCTAGTACTTCCAGATTTTTAATACTGGTCTAATTAAGGTTGGTTTCTATAATGTAAAACTACGAAAACTCTATTATCTCCACAAAATCCTGTGCTGATATTGAATATTGAACATAATGCAGAATTTCATTAACATAGATGATTATATTTACGCTTACACTGAATCATATATGTTTTATCCAACAAAGACTAAATGAATAGTAACTGCCAGAATTATTGTTGAACTATTATCACATATATATTCTTTTGTATAGTTATTAAGAAGTAACTAGGTTATGTATATTTATATCCCCTTTTATCATAAGCTTTCATTTAACCCATTAACTACTATTATACGATTTACTATTCTTAGTTTACTTTCAATCTGTTATTTAAAGCCATTCCTGCCTACAGGAACTTTTAAATCAATCTTGTAGGATTATTATTTTTCATTTTATGGTGTGATGAGGTCTGGTCTGCTTGTATATAAACTACGCATACCTGTAATACAATATTCATACAATGGAGGCTGATTATTATGTTCTGGGCTCAATGAGCAAGGTAAGACAAGAATATACTTTATCGAAGACTAATAAAGATTTAGAGTTGACTCAAAGCTATTAGTGCCACTTGGCGTATCATTGGTTTAGTGTGGGGGCAAGGATCATAGAAATCGATTTGTTGATTGTTGATTTTAATTGTGTGATATATTAGATAGGGGCCATAAGTCATAATAATATTCCAATGAAGAGTCAGTCTCTTTCACTTTCGCATCTTTTCGTTAATTCAAACTTTGAATTTATTATTCTATTTTAGATGTAAATGTCATAAAAAATTCACATACAACACAACTATCAAAGAAATCCAACATAACAATACGAAATGATGAAATTGATCATAATTTGGATCCATCTAAACGTCTGTCTATGGAAAATCAACATCATCTTAATAAAACTTATGCTCCAATTGTTAGTAATACAATTGGTCGTAAATTATCTAATTCAAATTATCCTATAGCAAATATTTTAAGTAATGCTATTTTAGATAGACCATATATTAATGCTGATGAAATTCATACATTATTCGATCCACATTCATCTAATTCAACATTGAATCCTTATCATGATTTAGAATATTACAATCCGATGAATACAAAAATAAGTTCAACTTTACCACGTGATTATAAACAAGAAATATATACAACTAATGTAAAAGATCGTAATAATAATAATAATACTAATAGTAATGGTAATAATAATAATAATAATTCTGTCCATAGAAACCAACCATCTCGTTATTTAACTAAAGATTACAAGAGTAATAAATTAGTTTATGGACAACAAGAACCATTTATTGTAGCATCACAACATGATGCATTATTATCAGAATTATTACATCGAGGTATGAATTCAAATCCTGGAGAATCACGTCCAAAAAGTACATTTTAATAATAATGATACGTAAAGTAAATCAACGATACATATAAATACACATTAGCATGTACATGTATTAATTATATTCATGTACATATTCATTATTCATCTATATCATCTTAAATGATTATCATCAATATCCATGGAATTAAACATTGGATGAAAAATTGTGATAATATTAGTATTAAACAAGTATATAATCATAATACTGATAGAAATATTATCAGGGATCAATTTCCAATTGAATCAATCATTTCTATCATTAAAAAATTGATCTCAGTACTACTACTACTACCAATACTACTACTACTACTACTACTACTACTACTACTACTACTACTACTACCACTACCACTACTACTACCAATACTACTACTACTACTACTACTACTACTACTACTACTAATAATAATAATAATAATAATAATAATAATAATAATGGGAAAACAATCCAAAGCACTGCATACATTTATTCAAGAAATTATTAACGACACATTGTCACCATTACTGATGTTCAAGTTGGGTTTATTTTAATGGGGCGAAAAGAAAGTATTTTGGTCAACTTTGTCAGTCAGTATTCATCATAGATCTTTTTTTTCTTCTTCAATATTCTTATCAAAACAGCTATTATGTAATGATATTTACTGCATATTAATTAAATACAGAGATTAATATTTTTCATAGACTATTTTTACTCAATCACTAATGTTGAATAAAAAGTGGTTACTGAAATTTATTTGGATCTTAGTCAAATTTAATTTGTTTAACGATGAGATTCAGTTGACAGATAAGTAAACAACCCGGAGCACTGGAGCTCATAATGAATTTTAAACTATACACTTATGGCTTCAAATAACATAGTTCTGTCCATTAGGATTCTTCTATATAACATATTTTAAACCATTTTTACTTTGGTACTGAACGGTCTTATATTTAATAGATAGAAATGATTAACATGGAATAAATATAGTTACCAAAAAAAAAGGGAATTCACAGTGTTCATCGTGTGTTCATTTGCGCGATTTTTACTACTGAAATATGTATAATTAAATTAGGGTACGATTTCAACTTATCCTAGGCAATTGGAGTCATAAGTTAACACTAGCAATAGCCTTATTGATATACTGATTTTCAAATGAATACTACGACTTTATTGAAGTCAAGAACCGATCCAAGTTAAGTCACCACTGAAAACGTGGAATCGATGGACGGCCGTTTCGTTCTAGTATGGCACTCCTTAACAGTGCGCATCCAGCTAGAGTCGAACCCAGGACCTTCAGTTTCGCGCGCTAACGTTTAACTTCTAGATCACTGAGCCATCATCCAACATTGTTAAATTCTAACTTCAACCAATTCACAATATTGCGCGACCATCTTTCATTGTCTTGAGTAGGTAACTAACTCACACCTGACACCGTTGAACTCCACTGGTCACTACCTTTCACTAGAACTCTGAGAACTACCTCTTAAAGCTAGTTACCAGTGAGCAAATGATAATTATCACTATAGGGTTGTGGAGAATATTGAGTTTTTCTTGATATCATGAAGGATTATAATCTAATTATTGAGTTACATGTAAATGTCCTGAAGTCACACGACAAAATATGTGTGGAAGTATGATATTATTGTTAGAAATCAAACCAAACATTGAAAATTTTGAAAATAAGAAATAAAAAACATGAATTGTTCTGATGTTGACTTTTCCATCAACAGGTAGGTATATTGGTCAAATAAATAAATAAAAATTAGGTTACGGAAGCTACTAACAATCAAAATACCGAATATTTATCATTCATACATAACAGCAAAAAACAAAACAACACTGTAATCTATTCTTTAAAAACATGTTAATCAGTTTTTTGTGGCCCTGAATCTGACTCCAGGTCGATCGTATAAATGAATGTTATTTGAAATGTACATATCGTCAATCCTTGTATAAAATTATGGACTTAAATACTGTTAGTGAATAACGGAATTAAATAAGTCAAATACTAGAATGAATTTCGGATACGCGTATTTTGGGTAAATTTTTGGGAAATTGTTATAGAAAATTTTGAGGAAATTTCGGGGATATGGCATAAAAACTCTAAAACGTTCGAGTTTTCCCCAATATTTCCCAAGAATATTATAACACAGAGGTTTCTCCTCAAAAATTATATAAAGTTCCCCAAATTTTCCCCAAGATAGTGGGATTGGGAGCTCACTCTAGTGAATTGTGTTATCTGAAGAATTTTCAAATATTAGGAAACACTGGATGGTCACTTCATCTTATTCTTAGACCTCTTGTCTGTCAGCATTAATTACCTAAATCTAGATTGAATCCGGCACATTTAGATCTGATGGAGTATACATTATCTTATGAACACTGAATAGAAAAATTAATACAGAGAAATGAGCAAACTCGTTTTTTTTATAGACACCTGATACGAATATATAAGGAGGAGTCTGAACTTTCAATAAGGTTTTCGTCCTTTAAGTAAGACAAAAATCTGAGTATACAAAATAGGATATATAGTATTTCGAAAGACAAACCAACCAATAAATATAAGAGTAAATCAAGTAGAACTAGAAAATTATAGAGGACGTAATAAATGAGGATATAAAAGGTTACAATAATAATTGTTATGATTGGAATCCCGACGGGTCAGAATAATACTAGTTTCAGTCAAACGTATCAGGTTTTAAAAGAGGTATGTATAAATTTGTCCAGATAGTTACACATATTTAGCATCGTAAAGTTTAATAAAAATCCAAATAAATAACTTGTGTGACTTCCAACATCCAATATCTTTGTCACGAGACTGTATAAACCAGTTGATTTCTCTGAGCTCGCTTCTTGTTGTCTTGACTTGTATTCCTATCTGACTCATTGGTTTGTGTGATATGATCCAATTATTCGCGGGAATTACTTAAGTTTGAATCGTCAAGAAACCAATCCGTTGATAATATTAAACAGATGAGATATTTAGGGATTTTATATCAAACACGTATGGCAGATAACAATACTCGGAAAAATTGGAAGAGGACATTGTGTTTGTGTGAACTAATGGTTACTTTGTACCTGATGACTGCCTGATTTCGGATTCCAAATGCAATATCCTCGTTTTCGCTCATCTAGTTCTGTCTAGCTTAGATCTTACCGTTTAGGGGATTCCCATTTCTTACAATAATTTGGATACTTCTATTCATCATAGTCACCTAATGACTTAAACCACTGACAAAGGTTATCGCGTAGTCTGTAGCAATGCAATCTACATATATACTCAGTGAATTTATGGTTTAACAGCCCCTAAATTTTTCCACTTCAACATCTATGCCAGTATCCATTACGCGGGACTGTATGTGGCGAATGGCGATACGAAATACATTTTAGCAATAGTAGTTTATGAAGATTCTCATGCTCATCGTCCGAATTAGCCACATTTGATAATTATGATCTTCAACCTCAGAATCCCTCTGCTAGTTGTTTCATGATACACGAGAAATATTTCTGATTTTTTGACATTGTTGTCAACTGTTCCTAGATCGATTTTTCTACACACACACCCACAATCTCATTTGGACGTGATGAGTAAGAAAATAAGATGTAGATGGTAAAAGTTTGTATAAATTAGCATAGTTTATTAAATAGGAAACATTTTTGAAAACTTCGTATATTTAGTAAACCCAGTATGAAATGCTAACCTATTTATTTATCAGACTGCGGGTGACTATAATCATATCTGTCAGCCACAATGTAGACGTTTGACTAATATCCTAACGCTGATAGATTTAAAAACTATAAGTGAAAATGATTTTTCCAGACATGAACCATTCCCCTAAATCATGCTGGCTGCATAGAAAACTTGGTCTCCCTGAGAAAGTAGTGATGAACGTCATAAGCATATACCAAGTCAGACCGGTTAATATTAATTCGAATGGAAAATAAACAGTCATACGAAAACTAAGAAATTTGGCCTAAACTTAGGGGAAAGTAAATCATTGGAGTACACTTGTGCCGAGCGAAAATAGATAATTTGGCGTAAATTTGTCTGAAAAAAGGACTGTTTAGTGTTAGGATTACGTAGGTTAATTTACTTATTTTGAATCAGATGTGACTTATCAGATTGTCGACTAAAAATCTGTATACTCAAAAGCGTCCATGTGCGAGAGTTATGAGGAAGTTGCTGAAAAGTGCAAATTAGCTCGCTAGAATGTCTGCGTCCGAAAAAGATCGAATTTTGGGTAACTTCTGGGAACTATTTATGGATTGTTATTAAATATATATTCTTATTGTATAACCATTAAGTGACTAGATTATAAATATTTATATTTCTCTCATTATAAGCTTTTATTTGATCTGTTAGCTACTACTATATTATTAACTATTCTTGAGTTATTCCCAGTCTACAAGTTTCAGTTTCTCACACTCACAGACACGTTTGACTTGATCTTGTATAACTTTGATTTATTTAATCATGTGATGCGGTCTGGTCTGCTTGTATATAAACCGAATACGTCTGAAATACACAATTTATACAGCTTTTATTGAATGAAAAGTTTTGCTAAATAAAACTTCTTACTCTTTTTAGTTGTCTTATCATCAGAGCATAGTCTCCTGGAACGCAGAACAGATCTCGACAAACAACGTTGAGATACATATTGTATCTTGCTTGGCCGTTATCCTACTAAGACTGTACCGCTTTTACAGAGACAAAACAGCAATAAAGAGTAAGCTCCCTCAACTTATAGTAATCCTGAATGGCAAAGATATAGCGAAATAAATTCCTCTGGTGTCTCAGAGACTAGCAATACATGACCCCCAAACAGCAGAGTTCAACACGATAAACCATAATCTGTAAAAGCTACGGCAAGAAAAACATCAGAGAGCTCTTGAAAACCTTGTAGCGGTAAATAAATCCCCGAAATAAATAGCTCTGTAAGTCTTCGACATTGGATGCTGACCACATTAGTTTTAGTCGATTCACCTAGCTGAAGTGGCTCGGTCATGCATCCGCACCAGATCATTAGTGGGA